ATGTGAGAAGGCAGTGCACTCACCTGATCCTCTGCCCGCACAGTCAGCGTGTCCTGGCTGAGGAGCTGTGTTACTCGCTTAACATCCAGTTGGAGAAACTCATCAGTTTTGTAAACTTCAGTGAAATGCTGATGAATAAAGTCATCTGCAGTGGCTTTCAATTCAGGACAGTCTAGACACTCTGCTAGAACGCTTATACCTAAACAGAGGAAGAAAACAGAACAGAAATTTACTTTGATATAAAGAAAAATATCTTGAAGATAAATTATGATCTCAGGAAAATTTCACTGAACGAATATAAAAAATCAGATTATGCCTAATAAGACTTCTAGTATTACCTTATTTATTCTTGACTCATTATATTTATGAAAATTTCCAGCACCCAGTTGAATAGTGGCATGTTTTCCTGTAAAGAGTATTTGTTGCGGGCTTTTGACTCTTACAAGTGAATGAAGCATTCTATTTCAAGTTTAAAAGTTAGTTGCTTTTTATTAGTTTATTTCTTAACATAGAGCCATTCTGGCAGTTTTGAAATAGCTCTTATTGGATAAAGAATGACTCTTTGAAAAATATATATTCCCAATAAAATGATTTAAAAAAATAAAACAAAAAATATATATCTTCATAGCTGATTTTATTTATTTATAATAATTTTATTGGGGCTCTTACAGCTGTTATCACAATCCATACATACATCCATTGTCAAGCACATTTATACATATGTTGCCACCATCATTTTCAAAACATTTTCTTTCTACTTGAGCCCTTAAATCAGCTGTTCACCCCCCACCCCCATGATCCCTTGGTAATTTATGTATGTATTTTTTTCATGTCTTACACCGACCACTGTCTCCCTTCACCCATGTTGCTGTTGTCCATCTGCCTGGGAAGGTGTTATATGTAGATCATTGTGATCGGTTCCTCTTTCTACCCCAACCTTATCCTTACCCTCCTGATAAAACTACTCTCATTATTGGTCCTGCGGGGTCTATCTGTCCTGCATTCCCTGTGTTGCGAGCTCTGTACCAGTGCACATGCACTGGTCTAGCTGGATTTGTAAGGTAGAATTGGGGTTATGATACTGGGGGGTGAGGAAGCACTAAAGAACTAGAGAAAAGTTGCGTGTTTCATCGGGGCAATACTGCACCGACTGGCTCATCTCCTTCTTGTTACCCTTCTATAAGGGGATGATCATTGTCTATAGATGGGCTTTGGGTCTCCGCTCTGTGCTCCCCCTTATTCACAGTGATACAATTTTTTGTTCTGGGTCTTTGATGCCTGATACCTGATCCCATGGATACTTCATGATCACACAGGCTGGTGTGCTTCTTCCACATGGGCTTTGTTGTTTCTCAGCTAGATGGTCACTTATTTATCTTCCAGCCTTTAAGACTCCATACGCGAAATCTTTTGATACCCAGGCACCATCAGATTTCGTCACCACATTTACTTTATGCAACCATTTTGTCTTCAGCAATCAGTCCAGAAGGTGAGCATCATGGAATGCCAGGTTATTAGAACAAAGTGTTCTTGCATTGAGGGAACACTTTAGTGGCCCAATGTCTGTCTGCTACCTTAATACTTAACATATAAGTATATATACATAGATCTATTTCCCTATCATTATCTATAAATATATTTACATATGTACATGCCTGTATTTAGAC